TCATCCCTATATAGGATCTGAACCCGCGGCGGGAGCGCTGCTGTGCTTCCAGCACCGCACTCTCCCGAGTGCACCACAGGCTCGGCCCGAGAGGGAGGGGTATTTTAATAGCCTTTTTAGATAACGGTGGATTTTCTTCCTTAGTACTATACCAAAGTAAAAAATTGGTAGTTTCTTAAAGGTTAGTAACAATATGGCATGTGATATATAAATGAATTTTTTGTATTCTGTTACATTAAAATCCATTGGTTTCTCTAGCACTTTGAATGGATCTTTCATCTATGTGTGATTTCATATCATCATGCACTGGAAGATATTGGCTCACTGAGTTATGCAGATCTTCTATAAGTTGGCACATTTCATTATACAATGTCAAAAAATTATGTTCACTAATACCACCCCAACCTCATCAGAAAAGCCTTTATTGCAAAGTTGTCAAGCTCCCAGTAGCGGATACAGGTTTTCCAAAATTCTAATTTTTATTTGAAATCCACAAATGTTCATACAGTTGATTATTTTCCCTGAAGTGACAAGCTCACTTTGTTCATTTTCAGGAGATTATCTGCTAAAAATCCATGTCTGATTGATGATAGTTTGTTAGTCACTCTTTCAAGTAAAAATAGTGCTCTATAATAGATGCAGCTAATTCAACTCATCACCTTCAACAATTGCAGTAGTGTTTTCCCTTGAGGCAACCATTGTATTTGGGTGCAACGAAATTGTTTTATGTTTACTTTCTATTTCATCACACAGAACATTAAAAAGATGTGTATTCAAAGGTCAAGATTTAATAAAAATAATTTTTGCTATTTCATCAAGAACATGTTTAAGGACTGGCACTTTAAATTAAATTTACTTACTGCAAGTGTATGGTAGTGAATAATACAATGATTATTAATATTGTTAGGTGTCACTGCTTTGTTTGTGCTAAGGCAGCAATGGCTTTATTGACCATTGCTTTTGTACCATCACTACAAATATCAACACAGTGAAAAAAAGCAAATAATGTTTTTGTTTTGTTACGAAGTAGATTTGACCATCTGGATACCTTAGAAGGGTCTCAGGGACCCCCAGGGATCCATATGGACTATACTTTGAGAACCTCTGCTTTAAAGGGAACTCTTAAAATCTTAATGGTGATTAAAGACCTGTGAACAATGATTAGGCACATTTTAATTTGGTTTTGGGAAAAATTATAATTTTGTCCTTTTTAACTATCCTTGTTAAATTTTCTGAGGTTCTAGTACTACTACAACCTGCAGCAGCCCTCTAGGAAACAAAAAACTCAGAACAACATATTTCTAGTTCTTCCTAAAAATTAAACAGGTGAGGAAGAAAGAGACTATGACTACATAAGTACTTTATG